AATACAGCGTAAAGGCGTCGAATAAAAGGCTGCACGGAGGTCACTGCTATCATTTGAGAAACCACGTGTCCGTTCGCCAAAATGTACGGATAAGTTTAATTTCTCCTTCCTATATTTGATTGTAAAACTCAACTAAGGCAACAATCAAAAAAAGAAATCCGCTCGCGTCACCCCATCCAATGTTTGCTGATCTGAAATCTTCCAGTATGATTTCAAACTCTCTACTAGGTTACTTCGTTTTGGTCCAAAACGAGGATTTCTATATTGTTCCGTTGGATCCGTCACTTTACCAGAAATAGCTTAGCGAGTATTGGTCACCGCCGGAACCACAATATTCCCCTTATAGTACATATGGACTTGGTATCAAAAACCGAGTTCATAAGCTTTTCCTAGCAATCTAGATGTCAGTAAAAGACCTACGGCTTTGCGCCGGAAGCTGTTGCAAGCTAAACAAGCGTTTTCGCGTGGAGGCAACATAATGAATTTTGATTACTTATGCAGCTGCAGTAAGCCTCCTTGCTTGTTGCGACGTCCACAGGTTCCTACAGCGATCGCAGATTCATAAAGCTGAAGTTAGGGAGCAACACTTAACTCTTCACGCTGACACGTGGGCGGCAAAGTATTTGCCTTTCTAGTTCCGTTTGAATAGCCCGAACTACTTTTGCCGCCATTTCAAGAAGCATTGCAACGTATTTCTGAATGTTCACCGAAGTCACATGTTTGCAGTCATAAAGAGTGAATGTAAATGGTCGACGGAGTAGTAACCGTGTAGATCGTTTCCAAACGGAACCAAGTCTTCCTGTGAGGCGTCCTGTGGCAGTCGGTTTCGTGGCGCCTGAAAGCTAGGGTGGAAAGCATCGCCTGCATCATTGCGGTTGCTCAGGCGATTGATAGAAATGACGAGCGATTATTTAAACACCTAACAAATTGTACATTGAATCAGAGTTGAGATTACGTTGTTGGGGTGCAGAGTCGTTGCGAGTTCGTTCTGTTGACGCGGCTGGGTGAACCAGGCACACTTAAAACTCGTCAAGGTAGCAGCTTTACAGCAGCTACCATGCTGAGAAAAAGCATGATATCTATTCGCTGGTCACCATGGGCTACACGCGACAGGTAGCCCTGCTTTTGAGCTGCCTAAAGATCATTGCCGTTGCCTGGTGTAAATAGATGGTTCGAGCAGAGCAGTGCTACTTATTGCTGTACAACGAGGTATTATGGATCAGAGCAGGTACTTCAGTTATCCAATATTCTTCAGAGTCAGGGGTCACAGGGGTTATTTTAATCGGCACGCAGAGTGGGCCACGTTGAACACGATGACTTGCTGTAAAGAGCGCAGGTGACCATTATCGAAATCCAAACACTTGGTTTGAGCTGATTTCAAAAGTTTTGGTACCCAGCCTCTGATAATAGGACGCCAACAGAAGGTGGCCTAAATTTCCAGAGGCAACCGAAGATCAGGATGAGGTTTAAACGGTACACGTTGTGCCGGGCTGGAAAGCGGAAGTTGTAACAACCTCGAGTCGGGGATTAAAACATGACGTGCAGATAATGGTATTGTTCGCGAGTTAAATTTGATTACACGTGCATCCCCATAATTAACGAATGGGTTTGCGTATAATTAGTACTCATGTACTCAAAGGATTTTTGATCTGAATTGTGTGGGTGACTCTAACTAATGCTTTGAAAAATAATTAAATATCAGATCACATTTATAAAAAGTCGTTTGAATGGTTCCAAGTTGTTTTCATGAATCAAATGCGGATTGTTAAGGTCTGTACCTTAATTTGTTTTATTGCTCGGAAATGCTTTGCAAACCTTCAAAATTTCAAAGGTGATTACAGACTCCAAATATTTTGACAAAACGAGAATAAGGAAATGTCTACAGTCCGTTTGGTCGGATCTCCAACTCTTTTGTTCAACGGCGCAGCTATTCCAGTTTTCCACTCAAATGCGAGCATATTTTTTATGCCCCTATTGCTAGATTTCGATGGATGCTGTGCTAATGTAAAGATAAAATTGTTTAGTAAATGCTGACACTAATGTAATTACTTTTTAGTTAACAGTTCTGTTTAGTGCTAGCATTTAGGCTATGGAAATTCAAACGCCACATTGTCTTAAAATCTACAATCCATTATTGGTACCTTCGTATGCAATATATTCCTCTTGCATCGTTAGTTGTTAACCATTCCTACGTGCTGAACCCGGATAAATCTAATGGACTGCTTCATTTTACTTGCTACCTTACCGGGACTATTTTTCTTACATGTGCTGGTTAAACTATTTTCCTTTAATCGGTACTGTACCGATAGCAATACCATCCCGTGGACCATATTCTGTTTAGTATGGATACCAATTTTATTTTGTTTTCCCTCTCTTATCCCCTTTAGAGTTAAAAACAAACAAGAGCAAAGGAAGATAATATGCTAGTTCGTGGAACACTCTTGATTTGGTCAAACATGGCAAATAGCTAATAAAGTTTACCGAGAGTTTGAACAAACCAATTTGATAATATTAAAGATAGGTGCTTGCTCATAGAAAATATTTTAGGACAAAGTGAATTTTGCTTACAAGTTAACAGTGTTGCACTTGAACCCTTATCCACAATTAATCGAAGCGTCCATCATTAAAGCAAACGTTTTTTTGAGTAGCGAACAGTAAAGTGGATGTTAGAATTATTTCATATAGTACGTAGTCTACGGTAAACCCGTGTTATGCAACGGAAACACTAAATCAACTTCAGGTTCCACCTGCATTAAACACTAACAGTTTCAGTAAGGTAAATAAACTAGATACACCTTAAATTGTTGGAAAAAAGTAAACAAATGTACACATCGTGTTACCTCGCCATGTTTAGCTGGCTTTTATATCCAACTGCTTGTCAAACATTAAAAATTAACTAAATGTAATTTGTTACCTTGCCGCTTGACACTTAGCCCGTTTCGCATGTATAGAAAAAAGGAAACGTTACAAACTCACAGCATTCGTGTCCTTACTATTCATGTCAAAACTCGAAATAAATTATATATGTGCTCTGCTCGTTTGAGCAGTTCAAGCGCAACCATCGTTAGTAAGACATGGTACTCACCTTACACATTGAATCCAAATTTACTTATCCAAACTTCAATGAATACAGTAAAGATTGCTTTACTTATACGGACAATAATGCATTGTATACCGTTTGGTACAAAAGTGGATACCCATTGATAAGTTGTGAGCGTATGCTGACGACTTCCCACTTGGTCACGTCGAACTGAAGGCGGTTAGCGGATAACCACGCAAAAGCCTTGTGGAGATCGATCTGCAATGCCATGTGATCATCCGATATCCTGTTATCATGCTAAATTTTAAATCGCCTGCAACTAGTAAAATATTCGACTGCAGTAAACTGGCAAGGTCATTAATGAACACTAGGAACAGACATGGCTCCAATACCGCTGATTTTGACGCGTCACACTAGACGTCAGTTGGGTTGGAACGGGAGCCACGGACGCTCACATTCAGCTGGCGTGTTAGAAAGTTGTTAATCCAACCGAGCACAGGGTTATCCAATTCATGGCTTTAAATGTTGTGCCATTTAAGTCAGTGGTCTAAAATAGCAAACGCTTCCGAGAAGTCCAGGCAGTAAACGCCGGCTCCCATGCTGGCATCAGCTGACTCTCTCCAGCTAGCTGGGGCTAGCAGCAAGTTTGTAGTGAAGGATTGTTTTCGGCGGAACCCGTGTTGCTGTGACACTAGGAATTTGTTGCTGATATGATAACCCATGAAAGCTTCATCAAATATATGTTCCATTACCCTGGACACAAATGAAAGGAAAGTGTTTGGACGGTGGTTCGGGTGCTCCGCAAGATTTCCACTTTTCTAACTAGTGAAAGTTGCCACATTGTGGGAACCTGCTGTTCTTCTTCACAAGGTTGAAGGAACCCAGCTAGAGGCGAAATAAATTTCATGGCCGCTGCCTTCAACGAATTCATTCCGATGTCGTCTACACAGGTGTGCTGTGCAAGCACAATGCCATTAGCGTTTTCGTCACAGTGGCTGCCGTGAACGATATGCGTTTTAAGTCTGGTGGCGATGGGAGTTGCGTCAAAATCGGATGGAGCGATGATGCCTTCAGGAAGTATGGATGAAGTGTTGACAAAGTACGTTGGCCGTATCTTGTGCGGTATGCTCAAAACTATTTGTTGTAAGTAAAACCGGGATCCGGCGCCGCACTGTGCAGTACTTGTTAAGGTGTGTATACTGCAAGTTTGGATTTGTAATACATGTCGCTTCTAGGTGCCGTTGGTGCTAAATTTTGTCTTTGCGGATCATATTGACGCATTGGTTTCGTTGTGTTGTATAAGTACCCTTGGTCATGGTTCTGGAACAGATTTTGTAAGCGCGTCTGGCTGTATCGGAATTACAACAAAACCTGATATTCGTAAGTAGTATAAATTGAAAAATTCCTCGCCTAGTTTCAAACGCTGTGGATACAGCGTCTAGCAAGAGGACGTCCTCTACTCGCAAGCTAACCACTGTCAATGACAATGGAAGATAGACTGTGCTATATCCCAGTTAGTTTGCAATTTACCTAGTCCAGCCAAACTCCCCCAAGTCTCAGTGGATTAAGCTGCTGGCTAGTTGGCATCTGACTCTAGCTGTCCTGCGTCCGAGCCTCCTGATGGGACCGATGGAATGTGCACCACACACCAGTCCAACCAGGGCCAAATGCTTCTGGTGCGTTTCCGAACTAGGCTCTACAATTTAACTTACGAATTACTGGGAAGAAAACGTTATATGAGGCGCTTACAGTCACGAGTTTATTGTACGGCTTTTCAGGAAGCAATTCATTTGTTTCGAGCAAGAACCTTACATTTTGACGCAGTTGATACTAGCTCAGTAAATTGGGTGAATTACAGCATCCAGGCGAAATCAGGCGGCTTTTATACGAGGAACTACTGCATGGTTTCTTGAACAAGCTAGGACGGGATGTCGTAATGTGTAACGACATAAGTTCACACCATATTCTCATTGATGCATTTCGAGCAAAAGACGTGCCGAAAGAGCAGCAGCGCGTGATCTCTTCGGCCAAGTGGGGTAAATATGTTCAAGGTGTCGACTATTAGTTTCTTGTTGGTACCTACAGGGTCTAAACCAGGGGGTGAATCAACAGTTCGAAATCCCGTTGGGGAGGTGACATAAATGTACAGAGGTACATATGCGACCACCTCTTGCAAATCAACCTTGAATTGTGCACTGTGTGTTGCTGGAATTTCCATTGCTCGCAAGTTGAATTCCCTCCCCAGAAGGATGTGGTTATGTGGTCATGCCAGGACTCCCTTCATCGCGGCCGGTTTGCAATTTTAAACCGCAGGTAGATGGTCATGTTTCTTGTCCGCTGTCGCCAGCATTTTTAGGCGGTCGCTAGGTTCAGACAACGGCATAACAGGTGGCACGATGTAGAGCTTTCAACTCTATTCGTAGGAAGTAGGCTGCGCGCAACACGATAATTCGTTGTGTGTAATTCTTCTGCTTATCCTCCTTGATGTTAAGAACACCGATAAAACCGACTTTGTTGAAACTCCAGTACAGCTTGTCTACGGCTGCACGCTGCAGCGCCCGGACAGCTAGTAGTACCAGAACCTTGAACGCCTTCGTTCGAATAAGCAGGTAATATTGATCGTTTGATTTCCAGGTGCGTAAAAGGTGCCCACACAATTCAATTTTGTAGAAGACACCGTTGGGATTGCACAGAAAACTGTCTACATACACCCAAGTGTTACTACATGTAGACGAGGATTTTAGGCATAGTATTTGAAAAGTCAAGTAATCTACCCGGTACCACTAGCTGGTTCTTTTGTGCTAAGCAATTTGTATTGCCAGGAAATCAATGGTAATATGCATGCGTGTAATTCTTAGCTTACACCGTCACCTTACGAGATCGAGCCGGTATTGGTCATCAGTGAAGTAAAGAAGATAACATAAATGCACGAAAGAGACCGACCAAATTGTACAGAGGAAGTGTTAACTTCGGACGACTGCAGCGAAAATGTCCGCCTTGATACACGTCCGTCCGTCACAAATGAGCTTCGTGTATTTCACTAGCGGATGGAGAAAAATGATCACAATATATGGCTTAAGGCTTACCACAGGTCTACACTCCATGAGTATGCGTATTTATTTCCCTAATTGCATTTCCAACACAACCTGTGCTGTGGAATTTATAACAAATCCTTTTGCTGACACTCAACGGACTCTACACGGCTGCGCCCATTCCGGCCTCGTGCCTGCGTGCGGTGCTACACAGATGCTAACCACAATGGGTGGCACATCTAGTTTCCTTCTTACTCTCGTGAAAACCGGGTTAAATTAACATGGATTACTGTGGAAATAAACCCAATAAAACCATTTTACTACCCTTGGTTGTTGTCTCAAGCAAAGGTTAACGTGAGCCACCTCAACAAGCACAACATTTTAATAAAATATCACTACATGCTACCCAATCATTTACAGTGATAGAGCAAAATATGCCTGTCGCCTAACAATGAGTAGGTTCCGGGTGCTAGGATGTATTTGAATCGGTCCAGAGCTTGACGCGCCCGGGTAATTGTGCAATGAGATCATCGCACAAACGGGAGTTTAGTGTTTGTGTAAGCACCTTTTCAAATCAAGGTAAAGAAATTTAGAAGTTTGATCACATCTTTCTAAATCGGCAACGTATGCTTAACAGCGGATAAACGTTTGTGCACAAACATTTCCAAATTATGTGGGCAGCATCTGTTAACCTTTCAAAATCTCCTTTAATTATAGGGAAGCTCTGCTTTTAATTTCTTGCAACAATAAGAATATTGATCGTTAGAGTTATCTTTTAGATACGGCTGGTTTTCTTCTGTACAAAATATGTAAATGAGAAAATTTTGCTAAAACACAAGATGGCGAAGAGCAGCCTTTTCTATAAATTTTAGCAAGCAGTTAGGATTATAAAATCGAACGTTGAATCAAGATAAGCTGTTAAAGCGCTTTACAGATTAGCGAATCAGAGTGAGGCAGAAACTGAGCTGTCTACGTCAAGTAATTGATCGATCCACTCAAACAGTGGCTAAAACACCATACGTAGGCAGACATAAACACACACAGGTATTTTATGAGATATAGCACGTGGTTTTAAACCGATTGTGTGACGCACTCATCACTCGGTGGTTGTCAGGATGTGGAGTGGAAGCTATTTGGAAGTGTGTAAACCCAAAGGCAAAAGGAGCACTTGAATAAGCGCCCCCCGTTTGGATAGTCCAGGTTTTGTTAGACTAATGACAATGGCTTGGGCCGCTCGTAACCTTTGTTTCAAAAGCCCCGTGGAGTAGCGTTTTTATACGATGTAAAAATCTGTAAACTGCATTAGCCTTGAGTTGATGTCCACCTTCGACCAGAGGTTCTAGGATAGAAATCCTGATGTAAACGGACCGTACCTTTCTTCAATACTGTTGGACAGAACTCCGATATCCGTTTTGACAGATGCATAGTCCTATATCCGGCGTACCTCACACCACAAAGGCAAATATTTTGATATTGATTTTACGGTTCGGAATGGACTTAGCGGCTGCCTTTAAGACGTTGGGCAACAAACAGCGCACTTTCGGCATTGATGAGTGGATTTGCAGCTAAAATGTTCGAACTACTGCAACGGAACTTGTTTATTTAGCAAACCGGCAGCAACACCACCCTTGCTCGTCAAACGTGTATTACAGCTATCTCCAAAAAGATATTTTTCTAGCAGTTCCCATCAATTTCTGCCTCGCTTTGATAAGCTGCTCTTTATCGCGCTTCACAAGCCTACCCATCTTCTACTTTCCATTTTATACTTATAAACGCCTGAAGAGAGTTATCGAATTTAGTGCTCCTCGCGACCTTGTGTTTTAGCAATCCCATGGTTATAAAGGTATAGAGTTAAAATGTTTTCACCAGCCATCCAAATTGCAATAATTAAACAACTTACGCATGTGATATCCTTGATATTATTCATTAAGTAGCAATGCTGTACGCGCTACAGCAGTTTGACTAATTAGAATTGATCTCTTTGTTTTACCGTCTTGATCTGTTAAAGTCAATCAAGCGTGAACCTGAATGTTTGTGTTTTAGGATCAGTCAGTTAGAAGTTGCAGTTGGAAGACAAATATCGGCAATGGCAAGAATGTCGTAACTTCTCATCATGCCAAAGACGGTATCTTCGAAATTTCAGCCGTTGGATTTTGAAAACAAGGAAGGAAACTTATAGGAAAAACAATGAATTTCGCTGTTCTACTTCACCGTCAACTTGAGGTTGGTCTACGACTGCTTTCGGACACCAATACCGGATTACTCCGGGCCATTTCCAGGGCCTTAGCGAATTTGAAGTGACTTGCGTTGTTCTGTCGCGTAGAACGATTGCTGCCGTACTGATTTCCAATGAAAAATCAGGACATTAAATGCACGGCGACCGCAAATGCCTGCGGCTTGCGTAAATGTGCGTTGTGACCGGGCGCATTCCATGAAGCCGTTTATATCCGCAAAAAAACAATTGGCCTGTTCCGGACCGCGTTCCGGCTGTTCGTTCCCTCAATCGTCCCTCAAATGCAAAATGCAAATTAAAGGCCCCATGTAGAGTACGCGATCCAGGTCTAGAACAGCTAGTTCAATAAAGTATATTTGACATGGAGACCGCAGCGCGACAGGCAACAACAAAATATGATGAGATTGTCTTATTAGCAATTACATTGGCAGCTGAAAGACCTTGGAATGTACAGCAGAAGATAAAGCTGACTACGAGATGACTACTTGTTGGCGTTCCAGATTTTAACAAACTGCGGTCACGACTATTGCTACCTCCTCTAGCTCAGCCACAAACTGGAACTGGAGGGTCACATTTCAAAACTTGCCACACAATACAGTCGAGCGGGATGGCGCGGAAAAAATATTTCCTTGGTGTTTGTCAACAGTGGAACGCTCTTCCGACTTTTGTCATTCCCCCGCCATGCCGCCTCGTTTTTAGAAAAGGACTGGACGATGATTTTACACCATTTAGGTTACTTGATCTGAATTCTATGAATTGAGTGTCGGCAAACATTGTACTCACCAACCCTACCAAATAGGGGAAGACGGATATGGTTGGCGGTATCCGGTTTCGGATTTGCCTGTCACCGTGTCTAGTCCTAGGACGCCTAGGCCAACAGAGGGACCTTGGGTGGCTTGTGCCCCACCAACTACACTTGCATCCCTAAACCGCATATCTAGTGAAAGCCCAGAAAAAACCGAAGCATGTAGATAGGAGCCAGGTTAAATCAACAGAGACTGTCCACATTCTACACAGGCACAGAAATTCATTCTGTTTTTCAAGAACCAAGCGCATACAGGTCGGTGGATGCACGGTTGTCTGCTCCCCACTGAGTTCATGGAACTATTCTTTGAACCTAGCATGGCTACAAGGACCGGGCATATCGTTCCATGCAGCAACGACCAACTGTTGTATGGAGATAGTTGTATGGAGTTGTATAGAGAGTTGTATGTAGTTGTATGGAGATAATATGTACCGACATAGCTCTTCAATAAATGAGCATGCAAAATAAAATAGTTACGAACAAATCTGTGATAATTTGAGGGCGCCAGAAAAAGCCGCAAACATAAAGCCGTTATCAAACTTAACTACAGCTATCTTAAGCGACCTGTGCAAGTCAGTAAAATGTAGTTCAAGTGGTATTAACTTGACAATATAGCAAACCTACCACCTAAATAAAGAGACCCAGTGTGCAAGTAAAAGTTTAATAACTCGAATGCCGCTTACCTACAAACGCTGCGCCGGTTCTGCCTACTTTCTTTGCAGGACCTGGCTTGCGTTGCTCATGGCTCACTTAGCCTGCCTGACTCACAAGCTCGCGACCGCATGTGCTACAGAACCATGCGCTCGTTATCGATGGAGTACAACCCATCGACGCTTGTCGTTTCCGCAATTATCGCTTCTTCTCTGCATGCACGAGGGATTTCACTTGCACGTCGACAACGGCCTTCGCTATTAGATTATATCATGCAAGTCGATCAACCGCCTTCGATTCCCATGACCTTCAATCACGATTAGAACGTGAGAGGCCCAACATGATCATGTCCTGATAACGAAGTTTTGATTCCCCACATGCCGCTTTCCGACACTCAGCAACCATATAAACGCTGCTTCGATATGAGCGTCGAATCCATGCACCACCCATGACCGAGCCACCTTAAGTGTCTCAGCAATAGTACGCAACACACTACA